TGAAGCCGGGGCAGCAGCCGGGGGCCCGGGAGTGAGCGGCGTGTGCATGTGCAAGAACCGCTACCCCGTGTGCGGCAGCGACGGCAACACCTACCCCACCGGGTGCCAGCTGCGCGCCGCCAGCCTGAGGGCCGAGAACCGCGGGGAGAAGGCCATCACCCAGGTCAGCAAGGGCACCTGCGAGCAAGGTGGGCACCAGCGCTTTTCTCTCCGACCCCGCCCCCCTGGCTCAAGCCGCCGTAGACCCGGGCTCCCCCTAGCGGGTCGGATCCTACCGGGCGACGGAGACCCGTGCGCCCCGCGCTGATTCCGCAACTCTCCTCCCGTGGGCATCCCAGGGAACAGATGCGAGGACAGGAACTGGCTGGCAGCCGCGGGGATGCGGGCAGAGATGGGAGACGCCTCCTCTTCTGTTATTTTGGAGGTTTTAGTTTTAGCGTTTGCTGCGTGCACCAAGAAAGTGAGGACTTGCAAGGCCAGTGAGTGTGTGTGTGTGTGTGTGTGTATGATTTAGCGATATTTCAGACTCCCGCATCCTATCCCAAAAACTCACGCAACTGATGCTAACAGCTGGCAAGTCGATTCGCAAAAGCAGCCCCCATTCTTTGGCGAAACAAAGTATGTCATGTTATCATCATTTTTTTCTTGGCCTGCGTATATAGATAGAGATGAAGTCCAGAAATGGGGGAAAGAAGTTTGATGACGAAATGCGAAATAAGGACTTTCAGAGAGAAGTTGTTTGTTCCACCTTTAAATGGCTAGAGTCTGTCAGAACTATGAAACTAAGATTTCATGGTTTCTTAATATTGAGAAAAATAGTTCACTTACTGGAAATTACAGATTCTTAAACAGCAATCTAGCAAATAATTTGTGGGCAAAAAAAAAAACACAGACTCTTTGAAGAACGTCTTTATGATGTAGTTTTGTTGTGAACCTTATAACCATTTTGTTTTTCTTCCTTGTTCCCTTTTTTGTGTTATGCGTCCCCAGGATGCACTGTTCAGCAGGAATGGCTTTGAGGTTATGTTTAATGGTTTATTTTATTTCAAGCAAGTCCAATCTTGCCATAAATGAAAGTGGAAAATAAGTAGAGTTCAGACTTGGGGAAACACACACACACAGATTTTAACTCTAATGCCTGAAATAACATTTTCCATAGGCAGCCGTTTCAAGGGGAGGTTAGAAATCCGACCTAGCAGTCCTTCTCCTGGGCCCAGCCAAAGTAGAAAATGGGAGCAAGGCCCTTCTCCTGAAAGGACAGAAGCAGTTGCTTCTTTAACAGCTCAGACTTTCACCAAACTTTCCAAATAATTCATTTTTAGAGCTTTTCCCAGAAGTCCGTGTGCTAATAGGTCGGATGTCACCAATTTCAGAGTTCACGATTGAAAGCCTTAAATTGTGTGACTTACTGGTACTGGTATTATTATCACCTGAAACTTAGAAAGTCACAACCCAAAGTGGTCCAACATCCTTTTCCAACAGAAACAGTTATTTGTTCCTTTGGGTCGAAGTCATATCATGAAAGAGAAATGTCCATAGCTGAAGAGTTCATTCCACATATTAAGATTTTCTTAAACACCATAAGGGGAATTTTTCCCCGATAGGAACAGAAGGTTAGATAAAGAAAGTTAGCTTGGTGATTGTTTAAGTAGTATCCATTCTAGCTCGTAGCTGAGACGGGTAGTCAGATAGAAGAGCAGGCATATCTCAGAGATAATGCACTTAGTTTCCAGTGAAATAGAGTGACTCATAATCTTTCTTTAGATGAGGGAGCCTTGCCTTTCATTTGTTTCTTTAAAACAAAACCAAAATAAAAAAGCAACACCTACAAAATGCAATAAAGAGAAGTACAATAAAATGAGGCATACCTATGGTCTTATAACCTCATTACCATGTACCCTCAGCTCCCTGCATCTTTCCAGATTGCAAACCCCATGAGGGTACAGACCTGGTTTTACTTTATGTTTGGGAAAATGTTCAGAAACATAGCATCTAAAACTGGAAACCTGGACATAAATTAGCCTTTTCTCCCCAACCTAAATTTAGAAATGGGGTCTAGTGCATGGGACCATTTATAGGAGAACTTAGAAAAGAATATAAGGCCCACCAGAGTACTTTTCCACAGCAGAGATAATGAGGCCTAAAACCAGATTTTCGAATATACTAGAGGCCCAGTGCATGAAATTCATGCATGGGTAGGGTCCCTAGGCCTGGCTGGTGATCAGGGCCAATGGGGGCCGTCTGGCTGCCAGTCAGAGCCTTCTTTTCCTGGCTGCGGGCTGCTGGCTGGGGCCTTCTTTCATTCTGTGCCGCACCCTGGTGGTCAGTGCACGTCATAGCGAGCAATTGAACTCTCGGTCTCCTGGTCGAACTCCTGAGGGGACACTGCATATTAGCCTTTTATATATATATATATACTAGAGGCCCAGTGCACAAAAATTTGTGCACTCGGGAGGGTCCCTCAGCCCGGCCTGTGCCCTCTCACAGTCTGGGACCCCTCAGGGAATGACCACCTGCTGGCTTAGGCCCGCTCCCCGGGGGATTGGGCCTAAGCTGGCAGTCAGACATCCCTCTGGCAGCCCAGGAGCCCTCAGGGGATGTCCACTTGCCAGCAGGGAGCAGGCCTAGCTGCAGTCGGAGATCCTTCGTGCTGCTGAGGAGGCAGGAGAGGCTCCCACCACCACTGCTGTACTGGCAGCCGTCAGCCTGGCTTGTGGCTGTGCAGAGCTCCTCCTGTGGGAGACACTGACCATCAGGGGGCAGCTCCTGCATTGAGCGTTTGCCCCCTAGTGGTCAGTGTGTGTCATAGTGACTCACATATTGCACCAGTGATTCCCAGTCGCTCTGCTGTTAGGGTCAATTTGCATATTACCCTTTTATTATATAGGATAGATTGTTCTGACTCCTGAATGTTTTGAAAGTTATAGAAGCAAACCTGATATAGTGCCATGTACTTCTGTGCCATTTAGTATTGGGGCTTTGCAAAGAATAAGAAATGCATTTCTAGGTTCCTCCAGCCATTTCTTCCCTCAGAAGAAACTTGAGTTATGCTTCCTTGTGTATTGAGAGGGAGGTGACATTGTAGGACTCAGTCACAATGGTGTGGTTCCATCTGTGTTCTTTGTGTTGGTCTCATATAACCCACACTTATTGAGCATCTAAAGTGTGGCAGCACTGTGCTAGGTGCTATAGAACAAGGGATACACAAAACAGAACTGGTCCTTTTTTAAAAATATATTTTTATTGATTTCAGAGAAGAAGGGAGAGGGAGAGAGAGATAGAAACATCAATGATGAGAGAGAATCATTGATCAGCTGCCTCCTGCACGTCCCCTGCTGGGGATCAAACCCAAAACCCGAGCATGTGGCCTAACCTATTCTCAAACCATGACCTCCTGGTTCATAGGTCAACACTCAACCACTGAGCAACACCGACCAGGCAAAACAGAACTGGTCTTGCTGACTAAGAAAGTATCAATACAAGTTGCAAACTCACCTCCCTGAGTGCTTTCACTGGAGCCCTGGAGACACTCCCAAATCTTCCCTTATTTTATGAGATCACCACTTACCCACCTTCTGGAGAGGATCTTTGTCTGCTTGTTTTCTGTACCTCTCTGGTAAGAAGTAAAGCCATCTTCCTGAAACTTTGTCTGAAGGGTAATGAGCTAATAATATCACATCTTAGACCTGTCATCATGAATTTACTGCCGTTATTAGATCTTATCAAGGTCCCTGAAGTCATGAGTAATTGAAAGAGAGGATTCAGTTTAATAAAAAGTTAATATAGAGAAGCTGAGATGTATAATAAAATCTCACATTGGAAGAGAAAAGAAATGGTGTTCCTTTATTCCAGCTCTTGGTTACTTCCTGTTCATGGCCCTATCAATCTGAGCTCCTGGGTAATCCCATTTCAGCCCCCCCGCCCCTTGGTCCCTTTGGATCCCATCTTCTCTTTTTTTCTCCCTCAGAATTAATTTTTACTTGTGAAATCAGAATTCATTCTTAAGCATCTGCCTTATTATACCTTTAAAACCAAGTTCAAATTACCTAGCAGGGAATATGAGGCTCTTCACAATAACTCTACCCTGTTATTTTGGCCTCTTCTCCCCAACTCCTTTATAGTCCAGCCATAAGGCTTGCTCTTTGCTGCTGTTTGCAGTCATACCCACACTCTCACCCTCACTTTGGACCCTTTGAACTCTTAGTTTTCAAGGATCAGCAGTTGTCACTTTCTCTGTGAAGCTACTTGATTCTACCACCCCCCAGGGATGTCCTTATCCTTCGTCTCTTCCAGCCATTTTTTCAAGGATTTTTATTGCACACATACTGTGTCCATGTAAACAAGAGCTATTCTAGCAGAACAGTTAAGATACTGAGCTCTAGAACCAGACTCCCTGGGTGTGAATCTTAACTCTGCCACTTCCTTAGCCTTGAGCAAGTTACTTGACCTGTCTGGGCCTGTGTTTCCTCACCTATAATGTAAGGATTATCATCATACCTGTCTCATAGAGTTTTTGTGAAGAGTCAATGTTTTGAAGATTATTCATAGAAATAACCTAATGAATATTCATTGTTGTCATCATTCAACCTTCAAGTAAACTCCATGAGGGAAGGGAATTTTTGCTCCCTGATCTATCCCCAAGGGCCTAGATCAGTGCCTGGTACTAGTAGATGCTCTAAATCTACTAGTTGAATGAATGAATGAATGTATGAATGAATGAATTTTCCAGGTACTGTTCTAATCTTAGCCTAGAATAAGATAGGAAGGATTGACCCCTCTCTGATGGCAATTACTGTAAGCTTTACACAGAAACAAGTAAACAGATAGATATTTTCACAGTCATATGTGCTGTGAAGAATGTGCAACAGGGAAATGGGATAGAGACTAGAGGTGGATGAGCAGCAGGAAGTGGGGTGGGTGGAGCCATGCAGAGGACCCATGTGAGGATTTCAGCAAAGAGAGCAGAGGTGACAACAGCTCTGCTAGTTAGTATAGCGCCCCCCACAGCCTCCGAAGCACTCCCTGAATGTCTGTCTTCTGCACAGGACTGGGAGCCTCCTAACAGAGAAGCTCCAGCTTGTAATTCTTTATAAACACAGCGGCTGGCTAATAGTTGGACACTCCGTAAATATTTGTTGATTAAACAAGGGAATCTCTTAAGAAAGTGCCTTCCCCTTTGGAAATGCAGGCAATGGACTCCCCTGCCTGTCTGCTCTCTCTTCTCCTGTATCTTCTGCCTTTATGAAGTCCAGGCCAGGGAATACATTTGACACTGACTCATCTTCCCCTCCTCTGCTACCCTGAACTCTTAGATTGTCACCCCCCACCCAGATCTCCACATTTCCCCATCCCCTTGCTGGTTAGAATTAGGTCAAATGGAAAAAGCTTCAGTGAAGATTTTTCTTTTCAGAAACTCATTTTGATGGATTTTAAACATTCATTCTTTGCAAATCTCATTGTATGCTCATTTTTATATTAATAACATATTATTTGAGTACCTGTTTTCTATTACTATATTTCCCGTAAATTTTTGAATTTGTGATATTGTGATGTATAATAAGAAATGTATATATTAGATCTTCATCCCATGTAGCTACTCAAACCTTCGGAATTTTCCAAGTGCTGAGAGTAACAAGGTGTCTTTTTCTTAAATTAAGGAGGTGACTTTCAGAAAGCCCCTAAGTCATCTAAGGATAGGGATTGATTGCCCGTGGAGCCAACCATGTGATTAGTGGGTTGGAACTTTCAATCCCACCCCTCCAATATCCTAGGAGGAAGAGGAGCTGGAGATTGAGTTCAGTCACCAATGATTGAATGACTGGGTGATTTAATCAATCATGCCTATGTAATGAAGCCTGCATTAAAACCCAAAAGGGCCCAGCAGGCATGGCTCAGTGGCTGAGCATCAACCTATGAACCAGGAGGTCACAGTTCAATTCCCCAGTCAGGGCATATGGCTGGGTTGTGGGCTCCATCCCCAGTGTGGGGCGTGCAGGAGGCAGCTGATCAATGACTCTCTCTCATCATTGATGTTTCTATCTCTCCCTCTCCCTTCCTCTCTGAAATCAATAAAAATATATATTTTTAAAAAACAACACAAAAGGATAGGTTTGGAGAGCTTCTGGGTTGGTGAACATACGGAGGTGCTAGGAGAGTGAACATAGAAGCTCCGTGTCCTTTCTTCAGACCTTTCCCTCTGCATCTCTTCCACCTGGCTGTTCCTGAGTTATATCCTTGTATAATAAACTGGTAACCTAGTAAGTCCGTAAAATGTTTCTGAGTTCTGTGAGCCACTCTAACAAATTAATGGGACCCTGGGAGGGGGTTGTTGGAACCTCCAATCTGTAGCCAGTCAGTCAGAAGCACAGGTGACAACATGGACTTGTGATTGACATAAGAAGTGTGTGTTTGGGGGGGGGGGGATGGGGATGAGGGTTGGAAAGGGAAGTCTTGTTGGACTGAGCCCTTAACTGGTGTGATCTGAAGCTATCCCAAGGTAGACAGTGTCAGAATTGTAGGACACCCAGCTGGTGTTGGAGAATTGCTTGGGGATGTGAAAGAAAATACATATGCAACTGGTATCAGAATGGTAGAACGTCATTGAAAGTTGATACAGAAGAAAAAGATAGTAAATAAATAAATAAACTGCAAAAAAAGAAAAAAAAAGAAAGTTGATACAGAGTGTTCCAATTGTAAATGAAATTGTAATGGTCTGGCTTACCTTGTGGCAAAGGGTTGGGGAGCGGGGCAATGCAAGTCAGTGCAATACTTTGTAAAACTACCACTGTCATACCACAAAGACAGACAGAGAGCCCCCTGGAGGGGGATCCTTAACCCGGGTTTATGAAGAGCCAGGAAAGACTTCCTAGAAGAGTGATGTCCTGGTTGAGACAGGGGTGAGAAGGAATTGGCTGGAGAAGAGCTAGCATGACGCTTGGAGTGAGCTAGAAGGAAGAGAGAGGAGCATTACAAGCAGAAGGAAGAGAGTAGGAAGCATAGTACGTGGTTCCATGGGGCTGCCCCACAGAGAGGGAGGGCCACAGGGGCAGCCGGACACTTAACAGGGCTTGGTGACCAAGGCCCTTGTGGCCCATGGGAGTATAGACACTGTCACAAGAGCAGTGGGCCGTTGAGTGATGTAATTGGATTTGTGCTTTTAAAAATCTCTGTGGCCGCCCTTAAGAGGATGGATTGGAAGGGGCAAGACTGTCATCAGGGACTCCCATTAGGAAACTGTTACAATAATCCCGGCAAGAGAAGCCTAACTCCTCTTGCTACACAGGACCTGTAGTTCTCTTTCAGATCTCAGAAGCATTGTTGAACCCCAGGTCCTAACCTGCCATGGCAAGCTGTTTATTACTTGAAAAGTCTGAAGTGTACTCTTTCCTGACTAAATGACTCCTCACAAAGTGCCCTGGCATCCCTTTCTCATTAGCCAGCCCAGCTCCCAACTTACAGCCACTTGCTCCTTTCGTTTCAAGAGGCTTTCCCCCTATAAGCCCCGTTCCTCCCTCTCTCTGCTTTCAGATCAGAAATAGGAAAAGCCACATCCGAAAGTCTACCCTAGCCCCATAGAAATGCTTTAAAGTTTTTTTTTCTAGCCTCAGTTACCCTTCTTGAACACAGAAACTTCTAGAACGCTAAGTGAATCACCGGTTCTTTCTTACCACTAATCCCTGCATTTTAGGAAAGATTTGAAAACCTGAAGCAGCTTTAGAAAAGAAAATAGGCAGCCTTGTTCTCCAATCCTTCTTACCAGAACTGATACCTTTAACAGCTGTGTAAACTTCCAAACCTTTTTCTATTCACATCTAAACATACTTCTGTGTGTATATGTAACATATATAGCAAAGGTATAAGCATAACATATTTATATATGGCCTCACATTTATTCATAATCAATTTAGATATTTTACTGTACATCCTATGCATGTATTTTTATGTATCTATAATAGTTTACTAGCAGCAGAACTGATGGAATAAAGGTTATTCAAATTTTAAATGTTACAGGCAAGTTGCCTTCCTAAAAGGTTAATACTCCCTCCAACTGTATATGTGAATATCCTTTTTCCCACACCCTTGCCAACATGGGTATTATCAATCTCTTTAATTCTTGCCAAGCTGAAGAGCAGTATCTCCCTGTTTAGTTTGCAATTTCCTGCTCTCTAGTGAGATTAAACATCTTGTATTTCTTCTGTGAATTGCCTATGTATGCCTTGCCATTTCTTTCTGTGCATGCATTATCTGTATTTTTCATATTTATTTTGAATTATTAGGGATATTAACATTTTTGTTAAATATTCGTTATATTTTCTCTGGAAAAGAAAATAGGCAGGCTTGAAGAAGGGTCTTAAAGGACTTGGGATTCTTTTCAAGGAAAAGAATCCAAAGAACAAGTTAATGTTTCGTCATGGTTTGGGAATTGGTTATTAAATGGAAGGTGCTTGACCTACTTTCCTACAATTCTTCAGGAGACGGAATCAAAAGGCCTGGAATTAAATAGCCACTCTCAACCAAAGGTCATTGGTGCCAATTCAACGCCAATAGGAATCCCCAATTTGGAGTGTGCTGACAAAGGAAACGTTACTCAGGGCAAGCAGCTCAACTGTGAGACAGCACAGCTGTGGAATAGTTCGATAGTGTTACAGCTCAATTATGAAGCAGCAAGGCGGTAAAGAGGCCCTGGGGTGAGGTGGCCCTGGAGCGAGGTGGCCCTGGAGCGAGGTGGCCCTGGAGCGAGGTGGCCCTGGAGTGAGACCCCTCTTCAGCTAGGAAGCTCTACCTCACTCTGCTCCTTTGCTATGGCAAGATGTCTTTGGTGTTTCAATTCCAGCTGGAGAAATGCAATCTTCAGTCTTGGATGGAAAGGAAAGGTGCACTGGGGAAACTTGCTTATATAGACTACCCCTGGCTCCTGATTGGTCCATCCTCATGCAAATAAGGACTCCAAACCCTCAAAGTTTGGTTAGTCCAAAAGGCACTGTCCTGATTGGTCAGAATGGAGCTGCCCTGATTGGTTGGTGAAGATGCTAATGGCGATATACCTTTGAAGCTCCAATTGGATGGGGAAAGTCTCGGTCCTATTGGTTGAAATAGGATCCCAGGAACTCCATGAGAGCTGGCTCAGGTGGCAGGATTACAGTGCAGGCAGGCAGTTCAGTGCAGAGGCAGGTAGCTGAGTGAAGGCTTCTCCTGAAGTGCAGTTTTTGTGAAAGGCCCCTGTGCAGAAACAGCTGCTGGGTGGTCTTTTAAATTTGAGCCCTGTTAAACCACTGAGAGCCCTTCTTATTAGGTATTTTCTTTCCCACGTTCCACACCACAAAGCACAGTTAGATTACACACTAGGGAGAACTTGTAGGTAAAAACTGTTGAATACCGTTACATGCTCATATGGGAGTCAGGGGAATTCTGTTCCGAAGACGCTCTGTTGGAGAGCTGAGAGGTAACCTAAGTGAGGAGGGGAAGCTGGGAGAGGTTGTTAGAACTTTTAAGATCTTTTACACTCTAGATATTAGATGGAATGCTTAAGCTGAGCAGGTGTTTATTATCATCCTTAAATATAATTTGCATCCTGTCCTTAGAGCCTGCCCTCTGGTTTACTGCAGACTTGCCTTCTAGAACAAACTGCCTTATAAGTCTCTTTTGAATAGTTTAGTGACAGAACTTCCTTGGGTAGAGTCCAAGGCCAGCCGGCCTTCCCTCGTCCGAAATTCCTCCCCCACAGTGTATAAGATTATAATGCTTCCTTTAACCTCAAAACACCCTGCAAATGATCTGACCTCATCTGTGCAGTGTTAATTGTAAGACAAATAGCATCTTATTCTTAGCAACTGTTAAAAAGGGAACCCTGAATTTGTGTAAAAAAAAAAGACGTTTAGGCCAGAAAATGTACGTGTATAACCTTTTTGTAATTTAGATCCAGGAGTGGCACCTTTAGAGCGTAGAGGTGGAAAAAGACTTAGAAGTATCTCAATTAATAAGCGCTTATTTTAGGCAATTTTCAAGATTTCCCAGTGAAGCCTTATTATGAGGGGGTAGGAAGGTGATAAGGACTAGAAATGTCACAGGAAAGCTCTCCCAAGCCTGGTTTATGTGGTTTTCCAAGTTGATCAAGACCATCACCCCCAGAGGACCCCACTCCCACGAAACCTCGAAGATAAAGTGAGAAGGTCAGGTGAAGAAAGCCATGCTTGATAATGTGGAGGGGGGGAATGTTTATTTTTTACCTAAAATTGATGTGTTAAATAGTTGAATTAATGGCAAATGATATGGTGGAGTTAGTTAAAAAGAGCTGGAGCTAGCAATAAACACGCCCCCTGAATGCCGCTACCACGCAGTGGGTTACCAGAGAGAGGTGCTGTCCATGAAACCCACTGGGCCCAAAAGCAGGCCGGGCTGCAAAGAAGTTTTGTGTCTGAAAAGTAAGAAAGGTTCAGACCAGGTAAGCCAGATCTAGTAACCTCATTTTGACAAAGCCCCATTCATTTGGCTTGAAGTTTCTTACTTACAGGAGTGTTGACAAGGCTATGGACAAGCAGACATGTTCCAAGTAGAGTTTCCCACTATGAAAAAGCAACACCCTCAAATCTTAAGGATAATACATATTATAAGTGAAGGCAGTTTAGTCTGCTTCACAAGATTATTGCAAAGGTCACATTATTAAACAGATGTGAAAACACGGTGTAAACAGATATCAACAGTTGCTAAGAATAAGATGTTATTTGTCTTACAATTAAAATAAATGTAAAGAACCTTATTGACTGGACTGGAAACTACTTTGGGGCAAGAATTCCAGGTAGTACCTTGTAGATGGTGATCATGATCACGGGGGTTTGTAGTACTTTACAGTTTGCTGGGGGCTTCTATGGACGCCTTGTTTGTTACACTTTAGGGAAGTAAGGGGGATTACTGTCCCAGCTTCCAAATCAGAAAACCGAAGGCCATCCATCACACAGCCAGATAAATAGCAGTGCAGGTACGTAAATGTAGGCATTGAGCTACAGCCTTGCTATTCAAAGTATGGCAGGTAGACCAGCAGCACGGGCTCTCTGCGCTATCTTTCTCTTCTGTAACCCTAAAACTGTTCCAAAATAAACAGTTTAGCCATAGCCAGTTTGGCTCCGTGGATAGAGCATCAAGCCTGTGGACTGACGGGTCCCGGTTACGATTCCGGTCAAGGGCATGTACATGGGTTGCCGGCTGGATCCCTGGCCCTTGTCGGGAGTGCATGAGGGAGGCAACCAATCAATGTGTCTCTCTCACATCGATGTTTCTCTCTCTGTCTCTCCCCCTCCCTTCCACTCCCTCTAAAAATCAATGGAAAAATATCCTCCAGTGAGGATTAACAAAATAAACAGTTTAAAACAAAAGTGATTCACAAGAGTCAAACTCTTGGGTGTGAAAAGTTTTAGAAAGACCTTAATGAGTTTATCCTGCTTATATTTTCTTTTTGATGGATTGACAAGGGGGATGTATGGTACATTCCTGATTAAATAGCTCTAAAAGAGCTCTTTCAATTAACACAAAGTAGAAATTCTATATGATAACCAAGTTTATGTCATAGCTTAATTGGCTTTTGTGATAATGTGGTACACTTTATAATACATGTCATATTCCATTCTGGGAAAGATGGTATTTCTTAAATG